CCTCCTCCTCCCTTCTTCTTCTCTCCTCCTCCTCCTCCTCCTTTCTCCTCCTCTCTATTTCATTGGTTTTCTTCAGCAGGCTAAGTGCCATGTGGCATAAGCAGTGCAAATAGAACTGCCACGTGTCCAGAGCTCTCTCTCTCTCTCTCTCTCTCCTCCTCCTCCTCCTTCCTCGTCTTTTTTTTTTTTTTTCCGTCAACGCAACTCAAAATCGGCAGGTTCTCCTTCTCCTCCTCTCTCTCCTCCTCCCCCTCCCGTCATCTTCTTCTCTCCTCCTCCTCCCCCTCCCTTCATCTTTTTCTGGCCACCTTCTTCTCCTCCTTTCTCCTCCTCCTCCCTAAGTCTTCTTCTTCTTCTTCTTCTTCTTCTTCTTCTTCTTCTTCATCTTCTTCTTCTTCTACTCTTCTTCTTCTTCTTCTTCTTCTTCTTCTTCTTCTTCTTCTTCCGATATTTGAACTCGGTAAAGGGTGTCGCTGGTTGTCCTTGGATCCTCTACTTCCACGACACTATGGTGGGCGGTGCCAGCGACGTTGGAGGGGGGAGTGGTGATTCTGGACGTAGGAGGCGCAAAACGGCACCAGAAAAAGGAAAAGAAAACGTTGCAAGCACCTCCGCTACACCCACATCCACAGTGACCTCCAAAGACCCCACGCCGACAATGGACCCTTCGCTGTTCGTTCCACAAGACAAGGCGAGGCAGGACAAGTTGCAGAGGGAGAAGCCCGTGTGGAAGTACGCAGAACAGGGTCAGGAAGCCGGGGCGAAAGGGAGAGGCGAGTAGTGGGTGAGGTGTCGGGTGTGCATGCAGATTTGGAGGGGCACGAGCTCAAGAGCGGTGGAACATTACCTGAAGACGCAGAAGCCTTGTCCATCGCGCACAGGGGAAATGGTGAATGAGCTTGTCAACGCCGGGGGGAAAGTGCTGCCGGGTGATAAGAATACGCGGTACTTGCTGAAGAATTATAGGCAGCTGCACGGGATTCCGGAAGGGGGGGTCGATCAGAAGGCCGACGAGGTGGTTGAAGTTCCCGCATACCTTTGAGCCACAGCCACCGCCCACTGCGGGCAGGGCTGCTCCTCCATGTGATGCAGGGGATTTGCACAAGGAGAATGCTTTAGATGCGGCGGGGGGTGAGGCGTCGGGGTCGAACACACGACTGTCCTCATTGCAGCAGTCAACAATAAGGAGGTGGGTGGACAACGATGCGCAGAAGAAACTGGACATCGCAGAGAACGAGGCGGACCGGAGGCGGACCGGACGACAACGCAGAGAAGAGCCACGCCCGGCAGCGACGGAGCCCAGGGTAAGGGAAACTGCACTGTACAATCCACAATCTGATGTCGAGTTCGCACGGCTAGACACGGATGTCGAGACGTTGCTGGACACGAGGGTGGACGAAGATGAGGAGGATGCGAACCGTGCCAAGGCTATGGCTGACTGGGAGACCGAACTCGTCAACAAACGTATGATGGAGGAGGAGGCCCGCCGTGCAGCTATCCCGACCCGGAGAGAGATCGAGAGAGGTCTCAAACAAGCTAGGGAGCACCAACAGCAGAGCAATCAGGCATTGGAGGTTGTTGAAGAAGGAGAAGAGGAGGAGGAGGAGCACCAGGCTGAGGTGGGAGATTACATGGAACAGGAAGAAGAGGCGGAGGGCATGGTGCAACCGCAGGAGGGAGAGGAGATGGAGCACCAAGAAGAAGAGGAAGGCGCGGTGCAAGGCGGGGAGGAAGAGGAAATGCAGCAGGAAGAGGAGGGGGAAGGATTGCCACAGCAGAAGATGCAGCACGGCGAGGTGAATACAGCCCGCGAAGACGAGCCCCGTCCCACAGCAACAGCAGTCTACACACGCAGGCCCCGACCAGCGGAGTTTCCGGAGTCCGAGGAGAAGATACCGGAATTGCCCGCAAGGAGGGAGGATGTCCAGCATGACAACCTGTGGGTGAGCCGAGTGGGCAGGAAGAGAAAGGAGCCATCACAGGATGCTCCTGCACAGCCGAAACGTCCTCGTGGCAGACCGCGAAAGCAGAAGACAGACACGGACAGTACACCGGTTAAAAAAAAGAAACAGCGCCTCAAGCGCAAGACGGTCGTGGAGGATGACCCGGAATCAGCTGACTGCAGCGAACAGCCATCTGAGGATGAGGGCTGGGACGCTGATTCCGAATGAGATCAGCATGTCCACAAGTGTGTGT